AGATGGGTGGCTATATAAATTTGTTTAATAAATAATCCTGCAAAAATTTTAAACATTAATTGTTCAGAAGAAAGTTCACTGAAGTCCATTTTGTTTCATATTCCACAACAAATTTTTAGCAGTTCTTAAATAAAAGTACTACACCTGTAGGATACAAATTTCTTGTTAAAAAACAAAACAGCTTCAGATATTAAGGTGCCCAATTTTGTACATGTATGCTTCCTGCTGGAAAGATATCTAAGGCCTTTTGTGTTCCATGAAACTAACAGAGACATCATATTGTGCTAAAACTAAAAACAAAAACAAAAAACTTCCAATATTTCAGTAGGTCAAGGGAAATAAGAAAGAAAGAAAAAATAGATAACATAAAGAAACAAAAAAAAAAGCCACTTTTTTTTTAAATCTATATTGACAGCCAGTGTAGTGCAGTGGTCAAAATGTTGAACTGTGCTTGAGAGTCCTAGCTCTTTGTTCATCCTCCTCCACAAAAGTTCACAGGGTAACTTCGGGCCAGTCGCACTCTCTCAGCCCAACCTACTTCATAGGGTTGTTGTGGGGGGAAATGGGAGAAGAAAGCCCTATGTATGGTGCCTTGAGCAACTCTATGAAAGGCAGAATATAAATTTAACAATTGATATGTTAAATAAAAAAATAGTAATTTTAATTTTAAAAAATAAAAACAAAACAAAGTGAGAGAAATGCCATTATATCCCTCCCTCTACCTACCTCTATATCAGATGTTGCTTAGGACTTCCAGACAGGACATGCTTGAAACCCCAGTGCAGAAACTCCACCTTTGAGCTTGGCCAGCCTATTCCTCTAAAATCTAGAAACATTAATCAGATATTAGAAAAACTGTTATTACTTTAATTCAGATGATCCCACAACAATAAACATCTGAGCAGCAGCTGGATTAGAAAAAAAATCATACCTGTATCTAGGGATAAACAAAAAAACACTGGAAAATGAAAAATATAATTTAATCACTTTTTTTGTTTAGCTGGCAGACACATTTTATTAAACTTCTAGAAAAATCAATATGTAAGCACCTTCACCTGATACTTACATTGCCCTAGTAAATAACAGCAGTTAAATACCAATTGCAGGGGAAAATGACAGAAGAAAAGTATATCTCCAACTTACAAACACCCCAAAGTCATCTAATGGTCCACTAGGAGAAACAGAGTAGTCATCTATGATGGGCCATGGCCTGGTTCAGCTTTTCTTACATACTCCAGCTTTCCAAAGCACCCAACCAACACATCTGGAGGGCAACTGTAGGGGAGGGCTGGAATAGACCATTTGGAAAAGATTATGAATTGTTACAGCACTTTTCTTACTGCTTATACATCTGTAATATGTTTGAGAACTGTGTAAATTTAAGTCATAGAAAAATCTGACTTAAAGAAAATTAGAAGTAAACAGGAAAGTGAAATGTTCCTTTTAAAGTAGGTAGAAAGTGTCAAAATGTACAATTTACTTATTCATTTATTTATAAAATATTTATGTGTTGTTTGTCACACAAAGCATCCCTGCGGAGTGTACAAAATGATGTGTCACATAATTGAAATGGTTTATATAAACCTTTAAAACAATGGAAGCTGGAAAAAAAAATACTTTCTGCATAACTGTAGAAATGTATTAAACAAAATGAATTGATTTCTTTACATCTTAGTACTCCTGCAGTGTAGGTATGCTGGTAGGTTTCTTAAAGATTTTGTTTTAAAATAAAAATATATAAATAATTCATGCTCCCTGGGTTGCTGACAAGACTGGACATGTGCTTGATTTCATAGTTTTACATTCATTCCAAATTTAAAAAGAGTTAAACTGCTATATAATTGTTTCAGCTCCCCGTCAGTACTGTCTGGGTCGTTGCATATTCTGTACTTTGGTATCAGGTTTTTAAATGTGTGATGTGCCTGTCAAATTGGAATGCTGAACTATAGTTCATTTCAAAAAAGTAAGAGACTGGAGACATATTTGACTTGATTTGTTCTTCTCTGTTATTGCCTTCCTCTGCGAAATCAAAGCAATGTCAATGTTACACACATTTTTAAACAGTGAGCATAATTGTCAGCAAATGTAGAGAAACATAATCTTTACAACAAAAGAAACACAATAAAGGCACTTTTTCTGATAAACACTTCTTGAGAAAGATGGTTGAGCAGCAGGGTTTCAGATAAATTAAACCACAGGTATTATCATTATGGAGCATTCTGGATTATTATTATAGTCCTACCACTACTAATAATATACTGTAATGATAACAAGACAATAAAGCTGATAATTTGGAAAAAAAAAGTTTTCCTGTGCATGTCTCTGTGTCTACACTTTTCATTTCTATATTGTATGCATGTACTGGTAGGTAGAATGGGGTTGACGGTATGAAGTCACATTGAAGGTTTTATGAAATTTATCAGTAAAGTAACTGCAAAGAGTATTGTACAACATACCTTTTGAAGATGTGAGAAAATTGAAGCTAAATATATTCTGGAAAGATGCCAGTGCTCATGATCAAAAAGTAATACTTATGGTAGAAACAAAAAGAGCTAAATTTATGCAATAACTGACTTACAGAAAACCTGTATCATTTTGCTCAATATGATGATTTTCATTTGTGATGAAATGGGTACCTTCGATAATTCTTTGGCTTGGCACTGGATCCAGATAGAATATTTATCTGAGGCTTCCCTCCTTACCCTGCCAGATAACTACCTCGCTGAATGCTTCAGAGTTATCTTTTTAATTACACTTTTCAAATGCAGTTGTCATTCCTCAATCTTAATCTCACCGGACTTATTTTTCTGTAAATTCCATTGTCAACAATTCATTTTCTATCCCTTTTGATTAAATGCTTATTAGGTATCAGAGATAATGAGTTAGTCTAATTGGTTTTCATTAAACAAAAAAAAGTTAAAACAAATCACTTAAAACACAAATAAATCAAATATTTTTAAAAAAACTTTAATAATAAGAATTTTAACTAGTAAAATATACATTTTACTACCTTATCCTGTTCAACTATTTAGATTAACTGTAGCCAGTTGTGGGTTTTTTCTTAGTTTCTCACCTTCATTATATTCATGTTGACTATTAGAAGTTTTCTTTTAATGTAAATATTCCATATGAGATACTTTCATCCTTCTTTCTCTCTCTTACTATCCTTCTGAACATACATTTTCCCTTCCTCCTTCTCTGATTATCAATATTATCAATATTTGAGTTTCCTCTCACCATTCTAAAAAGTTTTTGCTTACTAATTGTAGAGGTACCTTGCTTCTGAAACAGGTAGAAAGCACTCATTCTTTAAACTCTACAAAATATGGATTTACTGTAGCCCCACTCAGTTATATATCCATATAGCAGCTGTTGCAACGCATGCTGTGCAACTCAATTTGTAAGCAGATTTACTAGAGAGTACAAATGATGGTTCCACAAATGGGGTTTAAATATCTCTCCCGTGCAACCCCCCCCCCCGCCAAAAAAAGTCATCCATGCACTCACCTGCAAATCTGCTATAAAGGGTTTGTAGGCTTTTTAGGAACTGATCTGAGATGTAGATTGGGAAGGAAGAAAGTAACAAAAACTCACATTACAGTTGCAGAAGATACTGAATAATATTGCACTGAGCTTACATCTGAATAACCATGCTTAGGATAATGCTATAAACTTATAGCCAGAAGAATAATTGTTTGTTGGAAAGAAATATGTTGAATAACACCATTTCTCTAATACTATTTAACTTCTTGTTGGAAATGAAGAACTTGTTGTGGGTGTCAGCTGAATATTAAAAATATGGGAAATGGGAAACAGCATGGGATGAACAAAACTTGTTTCAAAATTGGTATTCCTGTTGGAAATTCTAGCATAAAAATCCTTTGGTTTAAAAATATATACTAATGTTCCAAACATTGTTGAAACTATGAATTAAAGTTCTTGGATTAGATTAATTCTGAACAGGAAATCCTTCTCTACGAATAGAGAAGGCAGTATAAACATTCAGAGCTTTTCACTTTAAGGCAGTATGGTGTGACTTTGCTTAGCCACAAGCAAAATAAAATGTTCCTTCTCTGCTGTTAACGTTTCTCCACAACGAAAGAAAGTTCTCTGATGTATCCTCAGGCTGTACAATGATCTCTTTGACATATGCAAATATATCAGGACTTTTGGAGTCTAGTCAATAAAATCTGGTAAGGTATGGTCATTCAGTGACTTCTTAGAGATTTTTTTACATGCCAGGCAATTAAATTTGCCTACATCCATATGTGGAGATGGGACCATATCTAAAGTGTAATTACAACATTTAATCCACAATGCAGCTTTTAGTGATACACGTTGAGTAAACATGTCTTCTTCTGACAGATTGGTATGGCTAACATTGGCAAAACTGATCCATGTTGAAACAATACTGCATGCTAAAAAAAACTTGTTGAAAAGATTACATCTGTGATGGAATATATTGTGGAATTTAAAATGCTAAACTTTATATATGGTAAGAACAAAATGTTTATCGATTAGAAAGAGGGGATAACATATTTTTAATTGCTGTAATGTGTTTATTATACAGATGAACAGGATAGAAATTGGGAATTATATTGCCATGATATCTCTTTTCTGTAGCCATAAAATATTTTAACTATTTATTTTCTCTTTTAGTGATTTGTGTCCTTAACTTCCCATCCTCAAATACCCAATATTGTATAGAATAATAAATTTAGAACCCCTAAGTTCAAAGTCAATGTAACAATAATGTTCTTAAAGACTTCTGTAATGCTGTATCATTTAAAATGTATAATTCATCTTGTATATTATAAAGTCTTTCTCAGTAATTGAACATGAAGTCTGCAAGAGACTTTAAGCAAACAAAGATCCTTGATTTCAATATGTCAAACTACCCTTAATGCTCTGTGTTTGATTATAGTCATAGGCTTCAAATAGAGGTTTATTTGATACTACTTTTAATATATTTATATTAAGCTCTCTTTTTGTATTTAAAGCTGTCTTTTGGGGAGATATTGCCTTAGATGTTGAAGACTTAAAAATCTTTCAGATTGACAGGACAATTGATCTTACACAACATTCAGAGGAAAGAAATGGACATAATACTGGTAAGCTACAAACATTTTTTATTCATTTATATATACAGAGTCTAACAAGTGTGTACAAATGTAGATTTGTAACATATTCTTATCAGTTGTGAATAATTTTAATTATGCAGATAAATATATTTATTCATTCAGTTAGTTAATAAATTTAGCCGTGTAATTAAGATACTTATGAAATAGAGATGCCTGCTACTTGGGAGAAAGACTTCTCTCCTATTTGACAGAATATTAAAGTGCAGTTCAGAGATATCACGTTGACCACAGAAGCTGTGAAAGGTGGACTGCTAGAATAAAGAGAAGTTGATGACTTTGAGCTGCAATTCTGGACAAATAGTTGAGAATAAATAACAAACAATTCAATGGTTGATGAAGGAAAATCAGATTGATCATTGGAAGCTGTGATGATGAAGCTAAAGTTTAAATATTTTGGACACATAAAGTGAAGGCAAGAGTCATTGGAGAAGGTATGGTAACTGAAAAAAAATCAAAGGTAGCTTAAACGGAGGCCAATAGAGGAGAAGGCTACTAGGTACTGTCACTGAGGACTCAAACAGGGCTCTGCATGAGCTCAAAGAAGCTGTTACTGACAGATGGTCTTTGTGAAATGATGTCCATTGGAACACAAAGAATTGAAAAAGTGATTGAACAACTCAGCAATAAACCTTTGGTTTGCCTTTATGTTAAATACAACATCTGGCTTACAAGAAACACATTTAAAATCAAAGAATATAGAACAACTTGCATCAAAATGAATTACATTTTATCTGTCATAGTTTTATCTGGTGGTAAGATTCCATCAAGAGGGCATTCAGTACCAGGTTGGGGAAGGAATAAGAGTATTTGTCAGTGTACAAATAGAATATGAGTGTCAGAGCTTCTGATACCTGAATGCAGTAGTTGTTTAAGGGGACATAAGCTTTTGCTCAGAAACTGGCCTCAGAGTTCATCATAGCTAAAAATTACCAAAGGGAGTAATCTATACAGAACTGCCATCTCCCTTATTCCAGTTGTGATGAAAGCTGAGTCAGATATTAACATTTTCCAAATGTAGGCAAAACCCCCAAGTGTTGGAGTAGAATGAGACTGGACCCCAGCAAGGTGGTCTGTTGATGGGTGGGAGAATGTTGCCCTTGGGTGCCAAGAGCTTTTATTGTGGTTGGTTTTCTTTACTGTTTTTATTGTTTTGTGAACTGCCCAGGGTTGTGGTTCATAATATGAGCAGCTACATAAGTCTTTTAAATAAAATAAAATAAATAAAAATCTGAGCTAAATAAAAAGGAGATGGGCCAAAATTGGGTCATGATTTGTTATTCAGTTCTAAATTTCTTGTCAGGAAGTTCTATTGTCACTCAGCTGGAGAGCAGGACTATGGACAGCTCTTTGCAGAAATTTGACGCTCCTTCCTTTGAAACTTCTGAGGGATGGTTGGATTCTAAAGGGATTGCATTTGTTTCTAAGGTGCTGACTCCAGGAGAGGGAGTACTGTGCTGTTCTTGGAAACAACATGGAGGTCGGGGAGTGGGGATCTTATATTACTTAGGATTTTTAGGAGGAGTCCTCAAAGCTGCAGGACTCCTTTAATAAGCCAAAGCTTCTCTGAGTCTTGAATCTCTTCACTCAGGAAAGTTGCTAATGTGGTAATGTCTTTTGGGATGCATAGAGCTAGTTCTTGCCTCCAGTCTCACCCTTCTTAGAGTCTTTCTCAGATACTAAGAAATTGATACAACAATAATAGTAAGTGGGTATAATGTTTGGTCGATGCTCTTCTACCCTTTTCTTTCTTTCACACTTCTTTGCCAACCATAATTGGCAGATGTGGTCATTTCTTCTCCATCCATGCATCCAAAATGCTTTAGGTTTGAAAATATAGTTCAGAAATCTCATGCATTTCTTGAATAACCCTGACATGCAATTCTGAAACAAATGGCAACATTTCAAGCTACAGTTTCACTTATTATCTAGGGGAAAATCCACAGAACACAGTTTTGGCCTTCAGACCTACTGAGACCTTTATGCAATTCATAACAGAAAACAAATTTTACAAGAATTTACAAAATGAAGCACTAACTTATTGGACTGAAAAGTATACATCATGAAATTGACTAAAAAGCAGAAATTGTGTAAACACATTTAGTTCATTATAGATGGAATGTAATTTTTTAAAAAGTAAAGCCTTTTTGGAAGATACTAATGTTTATTGTATACCATAGTAACAGGGGACATCAACAGGAAGAAAGTTTCTACATAACTCTTTTAGGGGACTTCTGGGGAAGAAATGGCGGTCTAAAGATGGCTCCATGAAAAGCAGTCTCCAGCAGGTTTAGAGTTTTGGGAGATGAGGGAATAACTATCTTGCTCAAACCACGGCTAGAACCTTTGAAAGGACACTTGGGTTACATACTTCCTTTCTAATCACTTTCGGAAATTGCTTGTTAACTGCTTTTCAGCTATTAGGAACTTTTGGATTGACCAGTTTTATAGCACCAGGTGAGTTTCCTTCAAACCTTAGCAAAAGAAGTTTTAGTTTCAAGTTTAAGGACTTAAAAAAGGTTTTTGGGGATAAACAGCAAAAAGGTGATTAAAACTTTGATTTTAGAAAGTTACAAATAGACTAAAGGTTCAGATAAATTTGAAATACGATTTTGGAATTAATTATAAAGAATCCATCCTGTGGGAAAATGCTTTTGTTTTGAATTCTTTAAAAGAGCATAATAAGACAAGACTTTAAAGATTGGACACTAGAGGAAACTAGAAGGAACTAAAGATTACAGTTAAAGGAGAAGAACACTCAAATTTGACTTACAAATACAGAATGAAGCAAAATATTTTAACATTTGACATAAGGATAAATTCAAAAGGATATTTTTGAACAGTGGACTCAGAAGTTAATTTTAAGAGTGTCTGTCTCTATAGATAGACTGTGTTAAAAGATGCTATGGAAGAGGAACAAGTTTTACCTGACAAGATTTAGACTGATTTGAAAGTGGATTTAAAAATGACAGGCTACAAGAATGACACGGAAAAAGATGTTACACTGGACATACAAAAGAAACAAGCTGATGTCTTAATAATTAAAAGGGATATATAAATAACAAACCAAGAGAGTGACCTGGACAATATTCTTATATTGGATTTACTAAAAAGGCTTTGAAGAATTTTGTGAGAAGGGACAAAGAAAAGATGAAAAGAAATCCAGTTCTAGGACATTATTTGAAGGGTCTAAAGATCAAGATTGTTAAAAGTAAAAGGAAGGAATGTAGAGTTGGTTTATTTGATCAAGGTTAAAATAGACATGTTATTTCTGGTAACCCTTAATGGACTTTTGCTGATATCAGGACTGAAATGATGAGACTTTAAGAATTTGTTTATAGATAAAATATGGGATATGGGAAAAAGAGATCATTTGTTGTATTTTAAGAGAAGGTGATAAAATTGTTTATACTTGTGATGAAGGGGGAAGTCATTTCTTTATATATTCCTTTTCTTTTTCCTTACTATATTATTTTTCTTTATTTTCTATTTTTCTTTCTATTTTTTCTGTACTTTCTATTCTTTATTCTTTTCTTTTTTAGTTTGTATTAGTTTTAACTTTCGAATTGTAATATTTAATAAAATTACCATTAAGTGAAACT